GTGAGAGGAACGTTGACTCAATTACATTAAATTAGTTGTATATTAGGCCACTAAAAAAGTAATGTTGTTCAATCTTCTTTTAAGTGATTTGATAATCTGTTTTAGCAAAATAGGGCTTAAACTACTGAAGATAAGTCATATGAGTCATACCATAGCAAATCCAACATCTGCCTTCTTCAGTGCTGGACCATCATTGGTACCATCACCAGTCACTGCTACAACTTGCCTCTGTTCAAAGATCGTGCTGTCAATTATACCTAAAATAAAACAACATCTCAGTGTTATAGTTCAATATTGACAACACAGCACAGATTAAAGCTAAGAAAGCACAGATTAAAGCTAAGAGAAAAGCCTAGTTTCATCTTCCTAAGAGTCACCAAGAAATCACAACAGATAGTTCAGGTTGATTTCATTTCTCAAGTAGTAAAAATTGGTTGCCAAGTGATGACTCCCTCATGGGCGTTTCCCATTGCTAATGATCCTGAATATCTTCTAGGAGCAGAATTTTACCTAGAAGCTCAAATAAGGATAGAAATTTTATATAAGTAGTTTTGAGAGGCAAAAAAAAAAAAGTCTAAGGTTTGTGAAAGAAGATATTTACCTTTTACTAGTGTGTGTTTGTCAGTAGGAGATGATCTTGCAAGAACACGAAGCTTTGGCCAAATTTTATCTATTCGCTCTTGTTCTATCTGCAAAAACAGCAATGGTTATATTTTGCAGTTAGGAGCCTGAATAAAGATATCTGCTCATCTACTTTAAGTAGCCAATGTGCTTACCTCTCCTTTTTCATTGCGTATTCTCCTATTGAAGTCTTTGCCTTCTAAACACAGAAAGTCTTCACCAGGATTCAGAATACCACATTTTAATGCAATAGCACGAGCAGTATTAATGTTATCACCAGTGACCATACGTACAGTTATGCCTGCACGCTGACATTTTTTTATTGCATCGGGTACCTATGTGCAAAAATAAAATAAAATCCCAGGCTTACGATTGCACATTAGCTAAATAAATCTAGATATGTCAGTGAAAGGAAAGTCTTTGGCTCAAACCAAGATCTCCACCCTTCCCCCCTCCCCACCCCCGCAAGTGTTCTATTTCAAAAATCAGTGTAGTTTGTTATAAGAGTTAAGTAGCTTACCTTAATCCTTCCCATGAAAACCCACAAACTTGTATTCTGACAAGTTTGTTGTTGTTGTTTTTCCTTCCCATCCCCGCCCCCCTTTTTTTCTTTAAATGAAGAGTCATTTTTCAAATACTGCAGTGCTAGAAAATTAATATTACACACCTGCAAGAAGCCTCATGATACATTAGGCTGCAATATTCAAAGGTGTTTTACAGTTATGCCATGAAGTATTGGCTTCTCATTTATGATTATGTGAAATAAGGGGAGCAGTTGTGAGCCATAAGTTCTAGCCTCTCACTCTTAGTATGAAGACATGCTAACATGGATTAGATTGCAGTCCCACCTATATGCATTGCAAAAACTGTCACTGTTCTTAAGAAATACCGCCCTCCAAAGACCTCAACTACAGTCCAAACTCCTTCCCTCAGTTCTTGTACTGAAGAATGACAATCCCTCCTCTCTGTCACTCCCCATGAAAAGCTGGCAACAAGTAAAATGGCTAGTATTATCCTCAACAATAGTCCTAATATTTCTAGTGGTTTAAAAAAAAAAATGCACTCACCACACAAGCTGTTCCATCTACTCAAGATGCTGCTTAGTAAATGTCTTAAGTCATTAGTTTGTACAGAGCTTCAGTAACCCAGCATAAGTGACATTAAGACGTTTTAATCTGCTTTTATAGCTTCATTAACTTTTCCCCTCCCCTCAGTAAATTAGATTTTCGTTAACTATGCTTTAGACTTAGAATAGCAATTCAGTTTCTTGCACTCTGAGTAACAACATGAATCAAAATCTGCTTAACTCTACCTCAGGTCTCACAGGATCTTCAATCCCAACAACAGCAATGCATGTCAGACCAGTAACAATATCATTTTCGTTGTCCCATTCTGGCTCCGGTTCCCCTGCTGGGAAGTCTCTGAATGCTAGACAGATGGTTCTCAGTCCTTCAGAAGCCATAGGCTCTATTACAGTTTTTACAATATCATCACGGTCCCTAGGTCTGAATGCCTTTGGTTCTCCATTAGCACTCAGTATTTTGAAGCACCTGGAAAAAAAAAAAAAAAACAAAAACAAAAACCCACCAAGGTTTAAGTTGCTATCAGTTTTTTTTTTTAAACCAGAAGTTCAAACCTGTTGTGGAAAACAGCTTATTAGTCAATCCCAGTAAGTTTCCACAAACTTTGTTTTCACTGTACTCTCCCTAAGAAAGCCAGTAGCAGCAGTTTAAAGGTAATCTTCTGCATATGCACTTACTCACTTCCTAATTGCAAAACACTCCAGCTGTAGAACATTAACTGAGCAAATGGGTCATCCTAGGATGAAAAAACGCCCAATGAACTTAGGAGACAACGTTACTCACCTCCCAAAAGTATCTATTTCTCTATTGCCTGTAAACAGATCTGTGCTGATTGAGTTAGTCAACCTTGTTTCAAGTTCAACAAAATAACCTCACCTTGTTAACAGTTATACAGATCTCAGTACAGCATGTTTCCTAGCACATTAAATACAGTGCATAGATAGCTATAAGTACTGAAAGCAAACTCCGGTACTATGATGAGCCAATGCTATCTTTAAAGTAAAGTTTGCATTAAAAAAAATCTAAGTTTAGACTTTATAACTTCAGAAAGCATTTTAGCATAAAGTTTTCAATGTGAAGCATTAAATGAAAAACAAATATTTTATCTGATGTTAAATAGTTTTATATGAGACTAGAGTCAAGACTCTGTACTCTAGCATTCTAGTACATGCTTCTCTTGTTACACATTTCTTCATATCAGATATCACTGCTTTCACAGAAAACATACATGCTTTATCAATATTGGTGCCATAAGTATGACACTACCAGATATTTTGAACAGTGAATTTGATTTGCCAATCTGTGTCCTTAGCAAAGTTCTTCCATAGAAAATAGCATTTACTTTAAAAATACTATTAATATGGCCCTGAAAAAGATACTCGGCTGTACAGGACAATTTAAACTATCAAGCTCAAATCTTGCAGATCTGCTAGACAACTGCTATTAAATTTAAGTATCTAGTTCAAGGGCTTGAATTCTCAGATGCAACAGCAGATTAAAAAGTTTCTACCTCAGCCAGGAAATGAAGATGAGGCAAGCCCTTAATTAAAAGTTCAGAATTTTCATCATAACTGAAATTTGAAGTCCATCCTAATTTCCTGATTTGGGTCATCTGTTCAGATGTCAGCACCCACTGAGGCTATCCCATGTTACCTCCAATTATAGTGCTCATGATGAATTCAAAGCACTCTAAGATGACTAAATGGAAGTCATAAGCTTTATGTAAAGACTTAATTTAAACTCACTTCAGGTATTTGACTCAAAGCTTGAAGATAAGTCAGAAGAGATTCTTCCCTCTGTTTAATAAGTTTTGCAGCACTTATTGTTAGTTTACCATTAGTGATGCATATACTTTATTCTTGAGCATTGAAAGTCATGCATGTGCTGGTAAAAAAGGGGCAGCCCAGCTGGCAAGCCAAGTTGCAAGCTCTGAGATTAATTTTGCACACTGAATAGGTTGTGGGTAAAGGAAGTGGCTTATGATGCTAAGATGTTTTTCCCAGCTGGTAGAGATTTTTAAGTAGTTTTAGAATTTCAGCTATTCCAATAGTATCCAAGTTCTTCCAGGTTTTCTTGTTCTTTCCCAGGTGCCTTTATTTAATTTGTTTTCTCATCTCAATTGTCAAGCCAAGTGGACCACATGAGTCCAGGCTGAATGAGTTCTAGTATCTTGTACAGTTTTCAGTTGCTCAACAAGAAAATCTGACACAAAATACTTCTTACAGTAGAATTACTGCAAGTGTAGGCATATTTATTCACTGAAGAGACTTCACTTGAAATCTAGCTATGGAAAAAAAAATGCATCTAAATCTAAGTCCTGCATCAGAAAGAACAAGAGTCCTTGAAAGGCTGACTTTTTGCTGTTGACACTAGATCAATGGGAAAAGGAGAACAAGATTTAATCTTTAGTGTATCAGTACTTCCTTCGACAGTGGTTTGGGCAGCTAGTAGCAAGCAAAAGGTACACTGAACTGACAAACATTACCTGAGTGCTACTCATAGACTGGAAATACTCTAACTACAGGACTGAAGACAGACTGGGTACAACCACTAGGCCTAGAAAACATGATGCATGCATGTATGATTTCTCTCTTCACCTGGTTAAGAAGCTGCCAAAGCCTTCTTAACATCTGAAAGTCTGCTGGGACAGATCTCTCCCCTGTCCCAGAGATATTATATCTCTGATAAATGTGCCCGTGTGCAGAAGGTTTATATGGGAACAACTTTCTCACATTAAAATAAAATTAATGTTTCTCAGTTTGTCAAATTCAACATCCTATTAAAATGATGAAGTTGGACATTGACTTGCACTCTTCTGAAGCTGACAGTAACCTGTGTTCATACTCGCTTCTGAAAGGTATAAACTCTTCCTGAGGTTTAACCATATCAGCTGCTCAGAATTCAGTGGAAGATGGGTTAGCATTTTGACCAGCCACACCTAAAACTGAAGTAACCTGGCAGAGAATAGGGCTATTCACAGACACTCTCCTGTATCAAAACAGTTCACAGATTAAAGTCATGACCTGCTTTTTTTGTTGTTTTTAAAACAGTTTTGTTTGTTTGGGGGCAATGGGTGGGGAGGGGGAGTGTTGAATGAAAACAATTGAAATGCTACTTGCCCACTTTACTGCAGCAAGCAGAACAAAATTGAGGGAGACAAACCAGGGAGGTTCCAGCGACCAGAAAGGTATTGGGACTGGTGCACTTGTTTGTGAATAGGATAAAAACTTTATATCATTATTGAAGACTTTGTTTAGTGCAGTCTCCTCAGCTACCACAACATTTAAGCAAGTTAAAGTATCAGAGTAAGACAGTAGTAGTTCTTACTTTTTAAGAACTATCTCAGAGGCACCTTTACTGAATATCCGGAAACTGCCATCAGAATTTTTTAACACAGTACTCATAGATTTTCTAACAGAGTTGAAGGTGTATACTTTGTACAAGTCCTCTTCTGGTATCTCATTTCTTACATCCTGATAATCACGTTTTAAATCCAAGAGCAACCCCAACAAGGCACATTCAGTTTTATTTCCAACATGACGTGGTAGGCCACCTTCTTTTTCAGGAGGCTGCAGAAAGAACAAGAATCTTTGTTGATTACGAGGTAAGCTTATCAAGCACTGAAGTACAGCATCTAGAAAATGTGGAAGTCAAAACTTAGTTCTAGGATAGGGAAGTTTCACTTTTGTAAAGGACTAATCTGTAAACTCCCAAGAGTCACGAGCCAAAGTCATACTGCTGACATTTAAAAGCAACTTCTGCACCTGTTTAGACTTACGATCCCTTTGTCAGACTCAAAAGTCCCCCGCTAACTTTCTATCAAATCCCAAAATGACCTTTCTAAAAGGCATTTTCCATTGTTTGAGATATCTAACTGAATCATTGGAATGTAATGGATCCTTCAGTAATTTTGCAATTTAAAAGTAGGTATAAGTTTGAGAGAATTAAGCATACTAAACTGCTTTATTTCTGCTGAATTAAGGCATCTTCTCCTGTAATAATTCTTCTGCAATGATTTAGACCATGACCACATCACTTGTTAGCCTTCCATTGAATACAGCAAGTCTTTAAGCTTCAAGTCTCACTACAAGTTCTGTTTTCCAGGCCATGGCCTATTTGACTTTTTTCTGAAGTCTTTCCAGTTTCTAAGTCTTTAGAAGCCAATATCAGAACTAGTTCTTGTTTCAGTAATGTGGAATATCCTCCTACTAGTGCTACATGTGATTCAGTATTTTCCAAAGATATTTCTGAGCTTTCATAGCTGTAACATTGCAGTTTGTGGCAAAAAAAAAAAAAAAGAAAAAGAAAAAAAAACAAACTTATTCACAGCCTAACATCCCTGCAAGTATTTTGATCATAACTACATTAATGCTAAGGCAGTCGTCTATGCTGCAAACCACACATTTGGCTGTACTGAATACTTAAACCTTCAAAAGAAAGTACCCAGTTCTGGTCTCCCCAGTACAAGATAGACATGGATATACTGGAGTGAGCCCAGCAAAGGGCCATGAAGATAAGGGATCGGAGCATCTCTCATATGGGGTAAGGCTGAGAGAGCTAGGACTGGGAGGAAAAAAAGGCTCAGGGGAGATTTTATCAATGTGCATAAATACCCGATGGGAGACCGTAAAGAAGATTGAGCCAGACTCTTCTTGTGGCCTGCCACGTCATGTTGTCCAGTGAAAGGACAATGGGCAATGAGCAGAAAATGAAATACATGACATTTCATTTAAACACAGAGAAAAATCTTTTTTACTCTAAGAGTAGTTGAACGCTGGATCAGGTCCCCTAGAGAGCTTGTGAAATCTCCATCCATGGACATATTCAAAAACCAACTGGACAGAGTCTGGAGCAACACGCTGTAGCTGACCCTGCTTTAAGCAGGACTAGATCTCCACGGGTCCCTGACTACCACAGCAATTGTGCAGTTCCGTAAAACAGACTAACTTAAAACTGCACTGCATTGGATATAATTGGATTAAAATTAAAATTGTAGTAGTAGGGAACCTGGTCAGTTTGTATGCAGCTATGTTTTTTCTTTATAAAAAGTTGTTTTGAGAGGATAGCATGTGAGAAACCTCAGTCTAACTCATTAGTATTTCAATCTTGTTTGAGAAATAGGTGCTTGCGATCTGGAGGTGCCCTTTCAACTCAGCTGTCTTGACAAAATTCTTGCAGAGGTACCATCTTTCCTCCTGGTTGAAAAAAAGCAGCTTTCAGACTGTTGGTTTTACTGCTATTCCTGTAGAAAGCATTCATAGAAGAGGGCTCTACAAACTCTTGAAGTGTGGGGTTTGTTTGTTTGTTTTGTTTTGTTTGTTTTTAAAAGCTTAAACCTAATTATTTTTTATTGTCTTAATTCAAGTTATGCAGTATCTTTGAATAGCAAGGAAGCTATGTTTTGAGTTGCAGAAAATTGATGCACACAAAAGGGAAATTAAGGTGTGTTTCATGAATCAGCCAAAGGGATTAGTGAAGAGCCAGATACAGTATTAAGGAGTCCAGTATTTATAATACATAACAGTCCATCCTATTTTTTCCAAAATATTTTGGAAGGGTCAGCAAGTTATAAGCAAATGTGCTTACAGAATTCTATAATCTACAGACTCACGGAAACATTATCTGCAATAAAAATCCAAAGTCACTACCTGCACTTGCATTCTCTCATTACGTTCTAGGCAACATTACGCTACTCTCACAATTCTACATTGAAATAGTACCCAAAATGAGCTAAGACGCTGTCCGAGTAAGTAGCACCTCCCTGTAAAACACATTTAGACACAACAATTAATTTACCTTTTTATAAGAAAGTTGCTTCCTGAGATCATTTTTAAATCACCAGTTCAAAACAATTCAAACTGATAAGACAGTTTTAAGTTTAGTTCCAAATAAACCATTGAGTAATTTACAGCAGATGCAAAAAATCTTGCACAGCTTTTTGCCACACACTTAAATAACAACTGCCTATCATGTGACCACTAGATAATTTGGATATTTTGAGGAACATGTTTTGATTTCCTCATTTTAATGAATGCATCTACTTACCAGAATTTTGGAAGTATAAGCACAGTTAACAGAAATTCCAGTCACAAGATAAGCCATAGTTTTCTCTGGAATAGCTTCTGGTTCCGGAACTTTTTTATAATGTTTTTCATTGATGTAGGCTTGGACCACTGTCATTCTGTTCATGGTCAATGTTCCAGTTTTATCTGAGCAAATAGCAGTTGCATTACCCATTGTTTCACATGCATCCAGATGCCTCACCAAGTTATTATCTTTCATCATTTTCTAAAAAGATAAAAACAGTCAAACAGCCATGATTTTTAGTTCATGTTTCAGAAATTCTCATTTAGAGTGTCAACTTAAAAGCTATGTGTATTCTGAAACTGGTCTAAAATTTATCTAGCATCTTACAGATTAAGAATTTGTACCCCACTTTGTAAGGATTTCTCCAAGTCTATCATATCACAATAAGCTGCATTTTGAATGAAGTCCCAGATACAGTCTTAATTGCCCATGTTTGCACGTCAGCCAAACTGAGGCCATTAATATTACTCAGACTGTTACGATGAAATAGTTTTTGATGTTCCTTAGAAGTAGAGCAGAGGCACAGATTGAGCTTTACTAGTTACAATGTTAAAACATCTCTAACAAGTGATGTAGGACTCGCCTGAGTAGCAAAAGATCCATCTGTTGTCTGAAGTCCGTTGTTCTTTCCTCTAATAAGGAAAGGCCAAATAAGCTATACCACAGACTTACCAGAGCATCACATGACATATATTTCAAAGATGCTACAGTCAGACTTAACATCAAATACAAACTGGAGACCTAGTGTTTCTACTAAGAGAATGAACACTGCACAAGTTTCACAAGCCTCACATTGCTTTAAAGTCTTTACCTAAGACGTTTAGATAGCATTTTAACCTTGCAGTGGCAAAGTAAGTTCAAACACTACAATAGCAAGGCTATTAAAAGTTAGTACTATAAGTTGGTAAGTTTTAGAACAGAGCATACTTAGCCATTGTCTATATAATGACATTTTCAAACCAGTTTCAAGATTCTGAAGCAGGAAGAAGTGTTAGAAAACAAAGAACATGAGTTTGAAAAAACATGCTGTATAATAAATAGCAAGCTATGTTCTGCAAAATTCAGAAACAGAATTAAGATGTCATTCCCAGCCTTCAAGGAGTAATAATCTAAAAACTTTCAGTAATTGCTTGTTTAACATACTAGTTAGGTGAAAGTCCAGGTTTACAGAAGAGTTTGTAAATAATACAAACTATAATACTGCCATTTATTATATCATTAACATAGCATTTGTTTAGTATCAGAACACTGTATCAGAGGACTAAACACACCTCACACCCCATAAGGAAAGATGAATCCATATAACAAAATCATCATTTTGTTAGTGACAGACTGTCACTGCTTACTATTTATGTTAGTATGAATTCTGAGATTAAGAAAAATACTGTGGTGGATTGCTTGTGCAGTTAAGTGAAGAGAGGAAAGCAAGCTTCCCTTAGCCTGTTAGAAACATGCTGCTTCTGATGCAGTATGTTTCAACTGAGTATAGGGCTGATGAATAAACCTACCTACTTTTAAAGTCTGTTCCCACTTACCTTAACAGAGTAAGCCAGGGATATAGTGACTGCAAGTGGAAGACCTTCTGGTACTGCCACCACCAAGACCGTAACTCCAATAATGAAAAACTTCACAAAGTACTGAATATAAATTGGTGTACATTCAGCAAGCCATGGTCGCTTCTGAACCCAGAAGGTATCAATCACAAAATATAGCACAAGGATAATGACTGTGATCGCAGACATCAGCAAACCTTGTTGAAAAGAAAGAAACCATTTTCAGAAGTTATCTTTAACATTTGTCAGTACAGACTCTGGACAAGTCAAGTGCAAAGACTTTTGCTTTTATGAAAGTTAGTTTACAATTAAGATTTTTTTTAACAGGCAAGTCAGGAAGCACGGGGTAGTGCAGAGCAGTTCTGACTTCCAATACAACTATTTTCCTCGTGCACTTTTTTACCTAAAAAAATTTGTAAAAGTTTGTTTTGCTTTTTACTTAATTTAAAAGTTTAGATCTAATTATGAACAAGAAAGATTAGTATTTAAGGCAAATTGATTAAGCAGAATGAGAACTGAACAAATTCAACTGGTCTTCAGTGACAATACTGGTGCATTACTCAGAAAGCTGTTAACAACCTAGGGAGGGTTGGATATTAAACACAACAGGTAAGCACAGTGTTCAGTGAAATGGAAATAACTGGAGAGTTAAATCAGAGAAACTACTGTTAGTAAGCTGAGTGGCACACTTAAGACACCACAACAAAACAGCAAGAAGAGTCAACCGATGTGTCAGTTCTTCATAGAAGAATACTTCAGTGAGGCACAACCCAAAGAAGCAGGACAGAAAAATGCATGCATAAAGTTGATGATTAACATTAACAGTGTGTAGGAAATTAAAGGAGGTCAAGAGGTACAGAAAGAACAGCAAGAGTTCTTACTTATGAAAGAAATGAAAAAAAATTAAGAACATCACTGAACATATCAGAGGTTTTATTCAATATTTGTTAGTACAAGTTTCTCAGTGAAAGAACACTGATATACATAACTATGAAGTACTAAAGCTACAAGCTTTATTGCTTTGTCCTCGCTCCCTATGCTGAAGTTGGCCCTTATGCTGGAGATTGGTCTACAAGACCTCCAGAGGTCCTTTCTAATATGATTCTTTCAACAATTCTACATGCAGCAAAATAAAGCCTGAAAGAATGGAATTAAACCTCTACATGCTAGGTGAAACAGCCTAGAATTTAGTCTCAGTGATTCTTGAACACTGAGCTACGTTGCTATCTTAGTTTATCTTCAATAAGCAACAGTTATCGAATGCTTTGACAGCTGAAAAGTTAGCTGATAGGGAAAGTAAAAGAAAAGAAAAAAATAGGAAAGTCAGTAAAACTGTTATTTACTGGTGGGACATATGTTAAGCTGAAAATCCTAAGCCTCTGGAAGTGTCAGAGAGAACCTGATCGACTCTACTACATTTTCCACATACCTGATTAAGTCAATCTATAGTTCTCTAAATGCATAAGTGCCAAACCTTTCTAAAGATAACACTGGGCAACTGTTATGAAAGGTATGAAGTTGGAATGTTCTGTCCTAGAAGCTGAGACTCTAAACTAAGAATCTGTTTAAATCAAGGAGGGGAGAAAAAAACCACACACACACACAAAATAATGCAGTCTGAGAAACCATCAGCACACTTCATGCATGAAGCATAGTTGCATATGTTGGAACTCTGCACTTAAAATAGTCAAACTGGTCCAGGCTAGCTACTGAAATTATCCTCTTATTAGCTATTTATATTCCAACTTTATTCAAGTGTGACATCAAAGGAAGATAGCAGTAGGTAGTGATAAGTCATACCTGCTTTGCCAATCTGAACTGCTAGTTTTGTAAGTTTGCCTTGGAGAACAGATTTTTCTTTCTTTGGCAAATTTGCTCTCTTCTTGTCTTTCTCATCTCCATCTCCACCATCTTCACTCTTCAACGGTTGCATTTCCATGGCTGCACCATCCTGTGCTTTAGCTAGGAGTAACGAGCAAATAAAGTTTAGCTGTTCTGAAGTCACTGAAGTCAAATGGTACTTACAAGGCGCATTAATCCCAGTCTCCACTAAAAATCAGTGTCTTGGTACCTTCTATCCAGTGATGCCATAACTTCCTTGAATATTTACACAAGATAGCGTGAAAATCATTTACTAGCATTGCTGTTACTTCCATAGTATCCATTTTGAGACTTATGTTCATTTAAGCAATTGTTTTAGGCAGATTCACTTATGCTATCATTAGCATAAATACTTTGTACGTAACTACTGAGTACGTATTTTCATATGAAAGTATATTTATTGTATAAACGCTTAGAAAATAAGGACTTTAAGAAAGGAGCACAAACTGCATTTACCTTTGTTACGGTTCTCAACAGCTCCATCCTGCTTTTTACCTGTCAGGGAAGTGAGAGGGGAACAGGTTATATGTCAGTCAGTCATGCAAAGTCTATTTCTATGAAAAAAATAAAATAAAAATAAAAATAGCATTAAAAAAGATATTTCTCTAAAACAAACTGGAGACAGAAGACTGACATAACTGAGGCTTTAAATGTTCTTTGGACTTCAGTTTTCCTTTACAAGACTTTCTGCAGTATTATATTTTTACAGTTAAGTCTGCACAGACTACTGATACAGATATTCATAAGCGAGTAAGTGGAAATACAGCAGAAGGCCTGGCCTGGCTAGAGTGTTGCCCTATTGAAATGTGTTTGATGGGAGGGTGATTGTAGAGGGTAGCAATTTTCCTCTGAGGAAAGCTTTTAAAAGGTTTGCCTAAACTTTTTTCTAGGAAAGAAATTTGCTATGTTAAAGTGATTCCGGTGGCCCAAGTCTCACTCTTCATGCTTCCAACACTTGACAATTTTTCTGACTACTACTATAATTAACTGTAAGATCTCTTTTCCAGAAGCAGTGCTTTTGTACAACACTGTAGAAGCTACTGTAGTATAAAATATTCATAAATCCACACCAAAGCTTAATGGAGGCACGGCACTGGATTACTGGATCTATGCTAACCCTATTTACGCAAGCATGAACATAATCTGTTGGCAGCACACCAACATTAGAGCGCTAATAGAGGAGTTCAAG